AGTTTTAAAACTTTACCAAGCTGAGTCAGCTTAATTTTAAAACAAAATTGTTTTTCACCCCCTGGAAGTTGAGCAGTTGTGCCAGAAACGGGGCTTCAAGTGGCAGCATCAGTGTTCTGTTTCACTGAAGGGTTGAGACATCTGCTGGCTTTTTATCTTGAGTCTGTGGACAGCTGCTTCTGCACCACCCCCTTTGTAGCTGCTATTGATTTCAAAAGGGCAGAGTGGCCTTCTTGCGCAAGCCCCATTCATTTTGGTGACACCTGCGCAAGGAATGTCCCCAGGGGATTGTGCCCTCTGCAGAGAGGCGGAAATTGTTGATCCAAAAGTAACTTTCATCAAAACAGTGTGACTCCAAAAGCCTTTTTCACAGATAGAAAAGAAGACTTCTTCCTTTTGCTGCATCCACAGATTTCCCTCTCCTCAGACTGCCTGCTTTTCAGGGCGGCATTCCTTGGGTTCCAAAGCAATTACAAAGTGGTGGCTTATGTAGGGAGCAGGCAGATTGTTCTCAATAGCCCGTTAGGAAAGGCACATAATGCAGCTTTGCTAACTGCCCACCTGTCCACACATCCCCATGTTAGTGATTTGCTGCCTTCAAAGAAAATCAGCTTCCCTGCCTGGTTGTCTGGAGGAAAGTCTCACTCACTGCAGATGATCAGGTTAAACAGCTGTTGACAAGCCTGGCATGATAGCAGAAGTGACTGCTGTGAAGAGCTGGTGGCTTGTACTTACTCTCCCTTCTTGGCAAAATTTAAAATCGAGTATTCACTGGGAAAGAACTGCTTGGGGGTGAAAAAAAAGTCCACTGTTACTGTCAAATTGCTCATAGCAGTGCATGATTGAGGGAAGCTACTTTTAAAAGCCAAAAAGAGTTGTATTTGTAGATTGTTATTTTAAAAAAATGTAAATAACTGAATTTTCCACAATGGTTTGGAGTCAGCTTTCAGGGCTTAATGTCTTGCTTGATGAAAAGAACGCCCAAAACCCCCCTTTTAAAGGAAAATTATCGCAGGAGAATTCAGGATGTCTTAAAGCTAACATGCACCGAAAAACTCAAAAGGTAACCTAAATGTCTGATTTTAATGGCACATTTCTTTTACATAAAATGTGACGGCAACTTGCATAAACTTTTATTACTGAAGAAGTTCTTCAAATGTTAATTTTAAATGTAAAATCTTGTTTAAAAAAGATGGTTTAAAAATAGATACTTAAAATACATCCACTTGCTTATGCATAAATTAGCAATAATGTTTTAATACTTGTGCCCTTTGTCATTTGCAATGGACCGTAACCTTGGGCATAAAAAAAAGCAAAAAAAGCAAACAGAATCGAACCTTAAATATCAAAAATGGATGTAGCTAGTCCTCTGTGTTTACCAACAAAATCTACTCAGTTATTCAAGTAAAACTCTGGCCCTTATTGACCCAGTATTGCTGTTCACTATATTAAAACATTTAGTACTTAGGTATTAAGTTGCATGTGTTGGTTTTTTCCCCCTGGAGCAGTGGGTCCTAATTGGTGGTCTGTGGACCCCGGGGTCTGCGTAACCCACCCAGGGAGTCTGTGGCACCGTTCACATAACAAAACTACCCTGGAGATAACAAAAAATTCAAAAGTAAGGGATCCATGGCTTAGCTTTTGAAAAACAGGGGATCCGCAGTACTTAACTAATTGGGAACCACTGCCCTAGAGTTTTTAAATTGCATGCCAAGAGTGTATCAACATTTGTTTTGATTTGTGAGTCGTTATGAAGATGCTTACTACTCTTCTCTGTTTGCAGGAGGTGCTCTGCTGTTGGGGTGAAAATGACTTTTGCTGAGGACGAGTTGGGTATGCTATTCGGCTGTTTCTACTTTTCTGGTTTTGGAACAAAGAACTTTTGTATCTCATATAAGCTACATTTGCATGACCAGTCACTTCGGTTCAATAAGGCTGTGCTGGCACTTAACTCGTCATTTAGCCAAAACAGGCCAAAAATCAAGACAGAAGGATGGGCAAGGCTGTGTACGCAATGGTTTAAAAACATATATTCAGTTTTGACACTATGGGAAGTGTCAAAATGCATAAACATTGCATATTTTGCATAGTTCACTCTAGTCTGGGGGGGGTCAGTCACTGAAGCCCCAGCCCCAAATATTGGACATATTATTCACCTCTCTGGCTTTTGAAACTGTAGCAGGCACTTCAAGCATACTTTGAAATCTTCAGGAAGCTAAAATATTTGCACCTTCTGCTTGTTTCTAAGTGCCTGTGGGATTATGCCACACAGAACACGAATACAGCCTGCCCTTCAGGAACTATTCTGGAGCTGTTTGTTCATGTGAATGTTGCCAACCCCAGTTGACACTTGATTCCTTCTCCCTTTGCCTTTATAGCAATTGGCAGGTTCTCCTAAGACAGGTGTGGGGAATTTGTTGACTCACCAGGTGCGTCAGCCCCAGCTTCCATGCCTAACAATCAAGGGTGATATTTGTAATCCTGCAGTTCTTGGAGGCGGGGTCTCCCTTATCTGAAAAATTTGTGGCAGTTAGGAAATGAAGTCTTTGCTGGCCAAAGGAAAGTGCCGGAAAAGAAAATAGGAGAGAAATTGCCAAAGTATACAGCTGTGAGGTCACCAATTACCTATGGCCGAACCTCTGCATCTTCTCAGCTGATTAATTAGCATCTTGAACTTGGCAGAGAGCCCACACATCCCAGCTAAGCTAGACGATCTTATGAATAAGTCATTCAACCACAGTGGCCCTTCACTGACCAATAATGACCTAGCAGAGAACCTAAGCTAGTAAAGCATTTTACATGCTACAAAAATTATATAAATTACTGTTTTCATAGAGTTGAAAGCACATATGTGTGGTTCAGTATGTTAGGGTGTGAACCATTGACTAATGGAAGAGCTCCCTCTAGTGGCTTCAGAATGATCACTTAACTAGCTTGTTTCTTCCCGCTCAGATCCAAAGAAAACAACACTGCAAGCTGGGAAGAAACTATTGATAAAACAACTTAGTGAAACTATTTAACAGGCAGGACCACAGTGAGTCGATTCCGGACCTTTCTGAGCAATGTGCCCAAAAGACGAGCTCCCCAAACCTAGAATGCTGACCCCAAATCAGGCCAGGTTTTATCATGGGAAGGGGGGGGAATTATGAGCCAGAAAACCTAACTTTTCCATTACAATAAACTGAGCAAACAGAATGCTTGAATCTGTCTTCTCCAACCTGGTGTCCCTCAGATGTTTTGGATTGCAACTCTCATCATCCCAAGCCAGCATGGCCATGGGGACGATCAGAAATGTAGTCCATGGCCCCAGGTTTAGGAAGACTTTGCACTGTGGGATAGTGTGTGACCCAAAATCACCCATTGCAGAGCATAGATTTGAAGCTGAGTCTCCGCAGTTGGAAGCTCTAACCATTACATCACATTGATTGGGTACTTTTTTTGAGAGACAGCATGATTCTTGAAAGATTTCCAAATTGACAGCATGATTCTTGAAAGATTTCCAAATTAACTCTGTTGCAGTTCTTCTCTTGAGGTTGCAACCCAGCAAGACTATGTGTGTGCATGGAAAGAATATGTAGCTAGAAGAGTTCTCTTCACCATGTAGGTGTATTACAAACCTATAGGTCTTCAGCACTGCCCTCCATATTTGCTGTGTATTTAGGGGCCCTGGAAACCCTGACCTAAAGGAACTACAATATGAGAACCATTGACATAACTTTTGCAGCATAATTTACTGGTTACATCCTGAGTTTCAGTAATTCTCTCCTATTTTTCTCTAATAGATGGAATCATCAAATACAAGAAGAAGAGGCAACATTATTATGAGGCACATTTTTACCAAGAAGTGCTCTTTGGAGAATTTCTAATCTCTGTAAACTATATGTGTACTGGGGCTTCAAAGACCTGTTTTCAGTTGGTTCAGTTTTGAGTCTGGGATCCTTTAAGTTCAGTTTAAATAATCCTCACACTAATCCTAAAACTTGGAAGTGCTTGTGAAAGAACATGTAGAATACAAGGTACATTTTGTGCTGGCACAAGTTCACTACAACATTCATTACAGGCAAACATGGCAGTGTTACATCTGTTTATTACTGGACCATGAAGTAGATGAGCCCCAGATACATTATTTGAGTGTGCTGTGGTATTGAGTACATTTTAATAAAGGTACTCCATTTTTTTAAAAAAGCGATTTCATGTTAAATCATTTTAGTAAATTTGTATTATTTCTTAACCTCCCAACACTAGAATGGCTTCCTGCCTCTTTTGATCCATACCAAGGTTGAATTGTAATTGTACAGGTAATTCAGTTGAAATTTTTAATATGCTCAAACACTGAAGTTTTGGGGTTTGGGAAAATGACTGTATGTTACAGGTGTGTTACAGAAATGTGTGGTCTTTAATTTTCTTGTCTGAAATTAATTTTTTCATGGAAGCCTTCTGGCACTGTTTACCTGGAGAAATCCCTGCTTTTCTCTGCAACCTTCAGGGCTAGAAATGAGCTTCTTATTTTCTCCTGTTTTTCTTCCCCACACTACCACAACTGGGTGTTACAATAGTTGCCAGACTATAAACATCTGGTACTAATGTAAGTGTATTCTTGATTCTATGACTATTTTTACGTATGTTTTTTTTAAAAAAAACAACAACAACACAATAATTTAAAAATCCTTGTCTTGAAAGTGAAGTTTACACCCTTGGTGGGTGGGGGGAGAATCTACTCTTTAAAAATTGAGATTCTTTAAAAATACAAAAGGTGACAAGCATATTTTTGGGAAAACAGCAGCAGTCACATCATAACTGGTTACCAGGTAAACCCTAGATTAATCTCAACTTTGATTTAACCTTACCTTGAAATTATTTACCAAAACAATACGTCAAGGGAGCAGTCTTCCAAAGAGAGGGTTAACATACAGCAGCCTTCTCCAGCCTGGAGCCCTCCAGATTGATTGATTTTTTTTATTTACTTATTTATTTACTGGACTACAACTCTATAATTAGTTTCAGCCAGCATTGCCAGTAGTCAGGGGGTTATTGGTGTTATGGTACAAAACATCTGGAAGGTGAAGGGTAATGAGAGAAGGCAAAGCAGGATTTATTTTGTCAGGTATAGGAGTGCTCAGCTCTGCAGCATGCAATACTTCTGACTACACACACAATGCATTTCCTGGTGTATATATCTAAATCAGGAGTGTGCTTTGGTGTGGAAGGCATGGTGACAGGATCTGGAGCTTCAGCATCTCAGTTTAGAAATTGAGGAAAGAGTTTCCCCTTGGTGGACATTGTACCCAAGTTTGTGTCTGCTGCTGCAGTGTGACCTATCCACAGATGCCTACTTCATCAGATGTGTTAAGTGAAACATTGGAAGGGTGCAAAGAAAGGTAACAGATTATGCAAGTGGTAAAATTTGAGGTGAATACAAAAGGCCCCCAGACCAACCTGTTGATGGCACTGACAGCTCTTTAGTTGAATAAAGGTATAAGAAAAGTGAATGGCCCCTGGATGGTTAAATCTATTCAAAGGCGACTGGGGGGTTGCAGCACTCAACTCACTTCTGGCCGAGGGAGCTGGCGTTTGTCTACAGACAGCTTTCCGGGTCAAGTGGCCAGCATAAATAAACTGCTTCTGGTTCAACAGAACACCATGACGGAAGCCAGAGCACACGGAAACGCCGTTTACCTGCTCGCTGCAGCGGTCCCTGTTTATCTACTTGCACTGGTGTGCTTTCGAACTGCTAGGTTGGCAGGAGCTGGGACAGAGCAACAGGAGCTCACTTCGTCTTGGGGATTCAAACTGGTGACCTTCCGATCGACAAGCCTAAGAGGCTTGGTGGTTTAGACCAGTGTTTCCCAACCTTGGGCCTCCAGCTGTTTTTGAACTACAATTCCCATCATCCCTGACCACTGGTCTTGCTAGCTAGGGATGATGGGAGTTGTAGTCCAAAAACAGCTGGAGGCCCAAGGTTGGGAAACACTGGTTTAGACCATAGTGCCACCCGTATCTACAAAAAGGTGTAAGAGCTCAGTGGTGTGTGTGTTATTTGCCTTGCAGGCTGTTCTCATTTTAGAAGTACATAGCTCATTAAGGCAGTTACCCTTCCAAGTTCTGGAGTGGTAGAGCCTATGAAGTCTACTATAATGACCCTCAGCCAAAAGAAACTTGTTTCTTAGGCATGCTTTATCAAATGACTGCCTTCTCTCTCTAGCTGACCCTTCCCCTCCAGCAGTCCTATGCTGCCCTCTCATGTATCTATTTTTTTTATTTATTTATTTTAAATTGATTTTAATTCATTTTGCTACATCAAACATTAAAACAAACGAAAGAAACATACATAACACATACACACAAAAAAGAAATACATAAAAAAGAGAAATAATAATAAAACAAAAGAAAAAACATCTCCTAACATAAGATACCAACAAATTAGGTTACATTTACTAAATAACACACAACACTAATTGACTTCCCTTCATCTCGGTTTCAGAATATATTATATGATTTTTTATCTGCAGTTTCTTTTCCTCAAAAAACTCTTTACATCACAAGTGTTATGTCACACCTACTGTGATTTTTAGATTTTTTACCTCTGTTTCCATGTATGTCATAAATTTATTCCATTCTTTGTTAAACTTTATGTCTTTTTGATTTCTTATTTTCTGTGTCATTTTTGCCAATTCTAAATAATCAAATAGTTTGGATTGCCACTCGTTTATAGTTGGGATTTTTGATGTCTTCCAATTCTGCGCTATTAGAGTTCTAGCAGCCACTGTCGCGTACTGAAAGTGTTTGATCTTCCTTTTTTATTTCCTCTCCAATTATCCCCAGCAAAAAGGCTTCGGTTTTTTTTATAAAGGTATATTTAAAGATTTTTTTTAGTTCATTGTAAATAGATTCCCAGAATTTTTTGATAGGCTCACACAACCACCACATATGATAAAAATCGCCCTCCTTGATCTTACACTTCCAACATAATTTATCACCAGTTTTATATATTTTTTCCAATTTTACGGGCGTTACGTACCACCTGTACATCATTTTATACATATTTTCCCTGAGTTTTGTGCATGCCGAGAATCTCATACCTTTGTTCCATAATGCCTTCCATTTGTCAAACACTATATTATGTCCGAAGTCCATTGCCCATCTCACCATTACCTCCTTTACTTCTTCATCCTTGGTGTCCCATTCAAGTAACAGGCTGTACATTTTCGATAGGAGTTTTGTTTTATTTTCTAATATTTCAATCTGGAATCTAGATTTTTTCTCACTTATCCCATTCTTTTTATCTTCAGTCCATATAGAATTAATTTGGTGAAATTGGATCCATCCTGTCAATTTGTTCTTTATTTCTTCATAAGGCCTAATCCTCCAACCAGTCTCTGTTTTTACTAGCAAGTCTTCATAGGTCCATCTTTCTCCTTCGATGTTTGTTTTTTTTATTGTCAGGATATCAATTGGCGATAGCCACCAAGGGGTCTTCTGTTCCAATAATTTTTTGTTTCTTTCCCACACTTCCAGCAGTGGTCCTCTAAAAATGTGGTTAGAAAAACCTTTATGAACCTTTCCCTTGTTACGCCATAGATAAGCGTGCCAACCAAATCTTATATTAAATCCTTCTAGATCTAACAGGTCTTTATTTTTAATAACAATCCAATCTTTGACCCAACAAAGACACGAGGCTTCGTAATACAACTTTAAATTTGGAACTGCGAATCCTCCCCTATCTCTTTGATCTGTAAGTAATTTGAATCTAATTCTGGGCCTTTTCCCTTGCCAGATAAATTTAGAGAGTATTTTCTGCCAATCTTAGAATACTGAGGTTCCCCTAATTATTGGTATATTTTGGAATAGGAATAACAGTTTCGGTAGTAAACTCATTTTAATCGCCGCCATTCTGCCAGACCAAGAAAGTTTTATTCTATTCCAAGTATCTAAGTCCTTCCTTATTTCTTTCCATGTGGTTATGTAATTATCTTCCATCAAATTTATATTCTTCATCGTTAACCAGATTCCAAGGTATTTTACTTTTTTAGTTACTTTAATACCAGTTTGCGATTCAAGATGGTTTTTTACCTCCTCTTTCACATTTTTAGTCATCATTTTAGTTTTTGTTCTATTTAATTTAAAACCAGATAATTTTCCAAATTCTTCTAACAAATCTAACACCTTACTAACACTCTCTTTTGGATCCTCCAAAGACAACATAAGATTGTCAGCATATGCTTTCAATTTGTATTCTTTCACTCCAATTTTTATTCCGCGTATCTCTGGGGTTTTCCTTATCTTATTTGTAATTATCTCTAACATCATGATAAACAGAAGAGAAGAGGTGACAGAGGGCACCCCTGCCTTGTACCTTTCGAAATTTCAAAGGGTTCTGTTGCCCTCTCATGTATCTACGTATTTGTATCTACGTATTGTCATTCAGTTGGTGGTAGTGGTAAGCAAGCAGAGGCCCCTCCATAAATTGTCGTGCAGCAGCACTATTGCAATGTTGTGATCGGGCAGCAAAAAAGGGGGGCATTATTTTGTACTCCCCCCCCAAAAAAACCCACTGTGTGTGTGTGCGTGTGTGCGCACTTATATGACATGAGGGGAAGGGTTGAGTCAGTGGAATGCACAATCTTAATTGTCAGCACTAGGGTGGGGGGTTTTTAAAGGCCTTAGAAAAATAAAAGTGTGAAGTACTCCTTAGACCAGGGGTAGTCAACCTTTTTATACGTACCACGCACTAATGCATCTTACTTGAGGGTAAAATTTCCTTACCGCCCACCAGTGCTGCAGTAACATGTGCCGTAGAACCCCTTACCGCCCACATGGAATTCTGAAACGCCCACTAGTGGGCAGTAGGGACCAGGTTGACCGTTGCAAAGGAGATCAAGGTGGTGTCCGTTATTCTCCCTCTCCATAGTTAAGCCCCACAATAGCTCTGGCACGTAGGTTCGGCTGAGGAGATCCCGCAATCGGTGGAAGTAAGCTAGGAGCGGTGGCTCTCGATATTGGGCTTCAACTCCCATCCTAAGTGGCTTTTGTCCATGTTTGCCGGTGGCAGCTAGAGGTCCACATACGCATCCTTTCCCCTCACGTAGCATGTGGCAAGTACACAATAGCCGCGGGGGAAAGTGGGGTGCGCGCATGCGTGTGGCTGGTACATGAGGGCTTCCAGCAGACGCCCGTTAGGATCCCCGCAGGGGCGAAGAGGTCTCCGGGCTTCCTCAGAAGTGGTTCACCAGCGATGAGGCATGATGGGAGTTGTAGTCCAATAACTGCCTGAAGGTACCACGTGGCTGGCGCCGGGTCCTAGAGACGGACATTTAACTAGCCCCTGAACTGACAGCGGCTCTTCGCGCGCTTGAAGGGCCGCCTCCCTCCATCAAGCCGCGCGCTACCCGCCGCCCAAGGAAGACGCGGCCTGAGGCCCGCGCCGCTCTTCCCGCCCAACGAGCCACGTGACTGACTCCGCCCCCTCCGCCAATGCTTTTTCCCCACCGCCCCTTTTGTCCTTCGTCGGATGCCGTCGTCTTCCCTAGCAGAGAACGCGAGGCTCCGCCCGCCATCTTCTTCCTCGCTGCTTGTGGTGCCGCTGCCGCCACCACCCGGTTCCGACCGAGCTCCGCCTGCGGGAGATGGGTAAGGCGGCGGGGAGAAGGAGGGGGTTGTCCGCAGGCTTCCCTCCGCCGTCGCTGGCCCCTCCCGCCGCGTGCGGCCCCCTCTCGCCCCCTTGACGCCCGGCCCATCCGCGCCCCCTGGGTTCCCACCCCCCACATGGCCTGAACTTCCCCGCCCCACCCACAGAATCTGTGTTTCATAGTTTTTTACGCTCGCTGTTTAGCTGGGTGGGGAAACGGGGGCGGTTCCCACTTGTGACTTACAAGTGTTCCAGATAAGACCTGTCACCTGTCCCTGTCCTCGGTCTTTTAAGAATTAAATGGCCTAGCACAAAAGGAAAATAGGAGAAGGAGGGAGAAGGAAAAAGACACACTCAAGCATTTCCCCTTCTTTCTCTCTCCTTTACAGTGGTTGCTCGAAGTTTGGTCTCCCATAAAGGAGGTCTGTCCCTTTATGGCAGGGGCTCCCATTTCTCCCCCCCCCACCTCACCAACATTTTACTTTTTCTTTGTACACTCCTGATTCTTTTCATTTTGGCCCTCTGCTCTTTGCCATTTTGTCCCGTGGTGCCAGCACGAGCCAGGTGCTGTTCAGAGTAATTGGCAAACTATCCCTGCTTGTCAGCAGCAGCTGTTAGTTTATTGCTATTGTCACACGAAGATGCCTTAGGCAGAGCCAGAAGCTGGTCCGCCTAACTCAGTGTTGTCTGCACTAACCGACAGCCCTGCACACAAGCTTTGGCCCACCAAGCCAAACCCAGCTCCTTAGCTGTGTGCAGCTGTCAAATGAGGGGTGTGATAAAACCTTGAGGGTTTGATGCCTGTCTGGGGTGCATGTGGGGACTCCTGGTGACTGTGATCTCCTGGCAGGCCACAATACATGGCTTGTGGGCTGTGTTTGGCTTGGAGAATCGCTGGTTGCACAGACCTGATGTATAATGTTAGGAACACACTGTAGCTACCTAGTTCTGAGTCTCAAACTACTGTTAAATGGGCAATCTCAGAAGATGGTGGACTCTCCAGGTTGGATAGCCATCTGTCAGGGATTCTTTCATTGTGATTTCTGCATTGCAGGGGGCTAGATGACCTTTGGGGTACCATCCAGTTCTACGTCTTTGATTCTGTTGGTCCATCCAGCTCTGTTATATTGACACCAATAGCTCTCAACCTCTTACAGAGGCCCAGTTGGCCTCCATTAGAAGTCAGGCATTTTGCATTGCTGGTCCCATGCTGCAGAACACTCTTCCAGCAGAGATTCAGCAAGCATCCTTCCTTTTGATTTTTAGGTGTTTGTTTAAGACTATTTAGTCTTAATGCAGCTATTGGAAGCTTTTTTTGACTTGCCAGTCATTTTAATGATTGTTTTGCCATGGCTCTAATGAAGTCGTATTGCTGTACCCCACCCTGGTATTTCAGCATATAAAAGATAGGATATAAATACATCTATAAATAGAATAAGTATGCCTTAGGCCAGGCCATAAGCCACCAGTGGGTTCTTAAGCACCAGTTGAAGCCCAGTGGTGTACATCAGTGTTTCCCAACCTTTTTCCAACAATGGCCTCGTTCTGACCTTGTTTCCTTCCTATGGCCCCTCATGGGCATAGCCAAGAGGGGGCAGGGGGCAGTTGCCCACCCCATAAGTAAAAATCAATGCAAATCTGAAGTTCTGCCCTCCCCCCCTAACAAAAGCCTGCGCCCTAACAAAAATCCTTATAAATAGAACATGTTTTTGTTTGTAGTTTTTAAAATTTATACAAAATACAATTACATAAAATGATAGGAACATAATGAAATATTGTTGAAGCAGAAAAACAGAATCATGGAGCTGGAAGGGACCCCAAGGATCATCTTTCTAGTGCAACCCCCTGCAGTGTAGGAAAGGTGCACAGGGAGTTCTGTATATATGGGAGAATTTAAAAAAGCAAGTGGTCCTCACTGACCTGGTGCAAAAGTACCTTATCATCTGAAGGAGCCCTGGCTGCCTAGATAAAACACTATAGCCCCCCACACCCTTACCTGGGAGTAAGGCCAACTGAACTCAGTAGACCCTTAGTTATTTACAAGATGCAAGTCAGCAGCACCAGACGACCCTGCTCAGCTAGGCACTGGGGTGGCTTGCACCTTGCAGAGTCAGGCTCAGGCTGCCACTAGGCACAGCACTGACAGCATCAACAAGCAGCTCCAGCTCTCCCAGCCCTACCCATTGCCACCCCACCATCGCACTTACCTGACCTGGGGATTTTGGATCGCAGACTCTACTGGTCAAAACAGGAGCCTCAGCGATCGCCCGCTTCTGCTGGAAACAAACCAGAACTGCTCCAAGAAAGCATACATGGCAAAAAGGAGCTCTAGGCCCTGGTGGGTCTCCCTTTTACCCGCTTGTGATTGGCCAAGCGGATAGCCAGCCAATCAGGATTTTCTCCCTTTGATTCTCACATCCCTCTGTGGCCTCCTAGCCTCATGCTGTGGCCCTCAATTTATACGATTTTCACCTGTGCCCCCCTTGGGAAATCCTGGGGGGGGCCCAATGGCCCCCAGTTGGGAAACACTGGTGTACACTGACAGGCAGAGGCTCTCTAGGACTTCTGGCAGGGGCTGTTCCCAGCCCTTTCTGGAGATGCCAAAGGTTGAAACTGGGACTTCTGCATGCAAAGCACCTTTCCACCAAAAACTGTGACCCTCCCCCTTTTATTCCTTCCATAAATAGAAACCAGTGCCTACTGCATTTCCATACTCTTGATGTCACCGAAAAGTGGAGTTCAGGGTGGGGCTACATAGGTAGGAGAGGGCTTGGTTCTTAATGGCTAGGGGTTACTAGAAAGTAGAGTCAGCCCCTCTCCCAGTGTGTCCCTGGGTGCTAGCTTGTAGTAGGGGCGAAATCTGCCCAGATGCCAAGTGGATCTGGGGAGGTGGGCTTGTAGAGTGCCCTCGGAAAACAATGATGAGTATTTTTCTGAGGACTCCTTCTGTCACTAAGAGTATGGCAGGTGGGTCGATGACACAAGAATATCAAAGGCTCTCTTAAAGGAAGTTCGGTTGGCTCCATCTGTGCCTACCTTTTGGGAAGCAGCAAAAATATGTTTCATCTTACTGTGCTTTTAGAAAGCTTTTTTCATGGACATTTTGTTTCATTGTATCGCTGCTGAGCATTAAAATTACTGTGATTGTTGTAAATGTTTATTGCCATGGACATTTTTATACTGCACTAATTATTTTAAAATTCTAAGCTGCTTTGGTGATTTTTCTTACAAATGGGAAATGGGAAGGTACTTGGAAATGGATCATATTTATTGCCACTTTTATATCTCATTCCCCCACCCAAGGAACTCAAGGCAGCATGCATACATCTTTTTCCTCCTCCACCATCACCACCCTTTCTCCCATTGTATTCTCACAGCCATTCTGTGAAATAGGTTACCCAATAGGGTCTGGTTCAAGATCACTGTTTGTTTCATGGCTGAGCGAGGATTTGAGCCCAGGATCAAGAAACGTCCTCCATTATACCACTGCCGCTTTTGCTGAACCTTCCCTTCCTTAATAACTAGGGCTAGGAAGAGAAAGTGATATTCTTAGGAGCCAACATTGAATTTTTAGACACAGCTCTGATGTCTAGACACCAGCTTCTCATTCCTAGCGAGTGCATTGTACACACTAAAAATATTTGTGTTCTAATAGACAGGCAGGCAGACACGTCTGTGAGAAGGGGACACACTACAGTGGAGCACCTGTTTGGCCGCTGTTTGGTTTTCCATGGCATGCGCTATTTTACGTGAAGACATCCTAATACTTCTAAAGGGCTTACTTATACTAGAACTAGCTATTGAAACAATTACACGTGAAGAGTATTGGTGTAACATAAAGCTCAAGCTCCTCGTTCCAGTCTTTCATCTATTATGAAGACCCTAAGCAATTTTGGGTGTGCCTCTGACTCTCAGCCCTGAATATATATGAGTACTGTTACTGATCCACCTTTCAGGGCTGTTGTAATGATTACTAAGAGAATCTCTGTGAAGCCTAAGGGTTCACACACTAAGGGTTGGTGTCAGTGTGTGTACCAAATTCCTCTGGAAATTTTAGAACTGTGTGATGTTTTGCAGATACCTAAGGAATTGCTATGACTACCCAGACCTAACATTTCCAGTTCTTCAAACCAAAGTAATCGTTTGATGAGAGAGCTCAACCCTCTTTGACTATTGGTGGTTATGGCAGGGGGAAGAAGGGGCCCTAACCGGACGTCCTACTGCCGCAATCCGCTCTGTGAAACTGGAGCCACTGGGGGCGCTGGCCATTCCACCAGTTCTTCAGTCACCAGCGTGCGCTCCCGTACCAGGTGGGCATGAACCCCCAGAGACTGTTGGATCATTCTGTCTGATACAGAGTTCTGTCCTATCTGAATTCTCTCTTGCTCCTCCAGCACCCAAGTTGACCCAGTACAGCTCATCAAGCTTAGCTGCTACTTTTGTCCTGTATACAGTGGCTTAGAAAAGTTTATAGGAAACTGCCATACACCAAGAAAGAGCATTGGTCCAACCAGCTCAGTGCTGTCTGCACTGACTGACAGCAGCTCTCCAGAATTTCAGAC